ATGTCAGCTGCCTGGTGCTGTGAAGGAACATGTCTTAAGGAAATCACTCTGCTTTCAATCTTCTCACTGATGAAATGCCTGTCTATCTCAACATGCTTCGTTCTGTCATGGTGTACCGGGTTCTTTGCGATGGCTATAGCTGATTGATTGTCACACAGCATTTCTATAGGTCCATCTATCCTTACTCTAAGTTCTTCCAGTAGTTGTTTTAGCCAAATGCCTTCACAGATTCCATGGGCTACGGCTCGGAACTCAGCTTCAGCGCTGCTGCGTGCAACTACTGCCTGCTTCTTGCTACGCCATGTTACCAGATTTCCCCACACATATGAACAGTAGCCTGAGGTTGATCTTCGATCTATAGGGGATTCGGCCCAGTCTGCATCTATGTAGACTTCAAGAGTCCTAGCGGAAGTTTTCCTGAACATTAATCCCTTCCCAGGATCCTTCTTGAGATATCTCAGTATCCTGTACACAGCCTCCATATGCACCTCAGAGGGATTATTCAAAAACCGACTGACTACGCTGACTGCAAAACTTATCTCAGGACGGGTATGAGCTAGGTAGATTAGTTTTCCCACCAATTGCTGGTATCTTCCTTTGTCGATTGCTACTCCTTCGGCTTGAGCTCCTAACTTGGTATTCGGGTCCATAGGTGTTTCAACTGGTTTACACCCGGTCATGCCAGTTTCTTTTAGAAGGTCTAGAACATACTTTCGTTGCGAGACTGATATTCCTTTGCTTGACCTGGCCACTTCCATCTCGAGAAAGAACCTTAGGTGTCCGAGATCCTTAATTTTGAACTCTTTGGAGAGCAAGAGTTTGAGGTGTTTTATTTCAATTGAGTGTTTCACAAATAATGTGTGATCTGCTTGGCATTGAGAGTATCTATCTAGTCTTAGAACCCTTGTAAATATGTCAAACCAGGCTCAGGGTGATTGTTTGAGGCCATACAGTGACTTTTGGAGTTTGCAGACTTTGTTCTTTGTGGAGTTGTTCTCAAATCCCGGAGGTAAATCCATGTATACTTCTTCTACAAGATCTCCATTTAGAAATGCGTTCTTCACATTGTGTTGAAATAATGGCCAATCTCGGTTCACTGCTATAGACAAGAGAACCCGGATAGTGTTTAGCTTAGCAACCGGTGCAAATGTCTCTTGGTAATCGATTCCATAAGACTGTGTAAAACCCTTGGCTATCGTTCCACACTACCATCTGCCTTGTGTTTTACCAAGAAGAGCCATTGCACCCTACAGTGTGTTTTCCTAGTGGAAAGAGTGGTGAGGATCCAGGTTCCATTTTTCTCAACCGCTCGGATCTCTTCCAAGGTTGCAGCTTTCCATTCAGGCACTCGTAAGGCTTCATGAACGGAATTGGGAATTTGAACTTGATCCAAAGATGACACAAATGCCCTATAACTAGGGGACAGGTTTGAATATGTCGTGTAGTTGTGAAGAGGATGTTGTGTGCATGAGCGGACTCCTTTTCTTTCAGCAATCGGCCTATCTAGATCCGAGCTATGCTCTGTAAATTTTCCAGCCAAAGGAACAAGGGTAAGTTTTTCCTTTCCTTGCAGTTTTTCAAGGGCAGTTGGAGCCGGATTAGATTCCCTGGTTCTGCTGAGTTTGTACAGGCTCTCTTTGTCGGTGTCTTCTTCTTGAGTAGACATTGATCTCTTTATTTACTGTAGTGTGACTTGGGAGATGAGTAGGACTCAATAGGTTTGACTCAGGATTTTGAGGCGCGGTTGGTAGAGGCTTTGCCAGTGTGGGAGGAGTTGGAGGTGTCTCGGCTGAGGACAGGACTGGTGGATTGGTAGGGACTGGTAGAATGGTGAGGGTATTAGTGGTGACATTGATTGGTTCGGAGATTGTATCAATAATAGGGTTCCAATTCTGTGATTCTTGCACATTGCTCTCCCCCTGAATTGCAGAATTGGGGTAGAAAGGTTTGTCTTCGAAGAAAGTCACATCCATGGAGTGGAAAAACTTTTTGGTGTTGGGGAAGTAACATTTGTATCCTTTCTTGTTGGGTGAGTAGCCCAGAAAGATACACTTTGTAGCTTTCGCATCAAGTTTTCCTCGATGTTGTGAGTGGATGTGAGCAAACACTGTGCAACCAAAAATCTTAAGTGGGATTTGAGAAATGAGGTGAGAATGAGGATAGGCGTCAAGGAGGGTTTGGCTTGGTGTTTTGTAGTTTAAGACTCGGGACGACATTCTATTAATGAGATAAGTTGCGGTGAGAACAGCTTCGCCCCAGAATCTTTTGGGAACGTTGGAAGTGAATAACAAGGAACGAGCAAACCTCAAGTAAGTGGCGATTCTTACGCTCGGCCACTCCATTTTGTTGAGGTGTGTCGACGCAGGAACTTTGATGGACAATACCATGAGATTGCAAGTAAGGGTCAAGAACAGTGTTAAAGAAATCTCGTGCATTGTCAGTTTTGAGGACCTGAATATTCGCATGGAATTGGTTTTGGAAGACTTGGCTGGTTTCAGATTTATCTTTCATGAGAAATACCCAGTTTAGCTATGTATGATCATCAACCAACAGTAAGAACCATTGAGCCCCTGTAATATTTTGGATTTTTGAAGGCCCTCAGATATCACCATGAATGAGGGAAAATGGATGAGAAGGTTTGTATGGTCGCGGAGAATATGTACTTCGAGTACGTTTGGATAAACATCACAGTGGAAAAATTTAGAATTTTTATTAATGAACAATGATGGAAAAAGACGTTCAAGATACATAAAATTTGGATGACCTAAACAATAGTGCCACATCATAATAACACTATCTTTATTAGAATAACTCATTGACTCTTGATTGCTACCGGGCTGACTCTATGGACTAGCACTAAGTGCATTACATCTCAGGCCTGTTGGCGGATTGTCAAATTTGAGAAGGTATAGACCTACACAAAGCTCAGCATTGTCAATCGTCTTCCCCGAATCCAAGTCCTGAAATACACAAGATTTAGCAAAAAACTTAGTTTCACAGTTCAGATCTTTATTGAGTCTGCTAACAGATAATAAATTGCAATCAAGATTAGGCACAAAAAGAACTGAGTAGAGGGTCAGATTTTTAGAAAGCTGGACAGTGCCAGTTCCAACAACTGTAGAGCATGAGCTGTCTGCAATACGAACAGTGAGAGCACTCGGACATAGACAGTAGGAGGATAACAGGGACCTATCACTTGTCATGTGATCAGATGCGCCAGAATCTACAATCCAATAGGTTGAGGGTGCCTTTGCGGCATGAAAGGCCAGAGTGTCATTACCTCGCTGAGCGACTCCCCCTGTGCCAATCACTGAAGAGTTGGTGGATTGATGAGCCTGACTAATCAAGTGCTGCAGCATCTCAAGTTGATTCTTGGTGAATGGGGCTTGACTTGGGCTTTTGGTTTCTTCTGCAGAGGCGACATTTCCACGACTCTCATGATCACCGGATGTGTGGCTGGGCTTCCAATCTGCAGGTTTTTCGTGCAGCTTCCAACATGTTTCCTTGACATGACCTGGTTTGCGACAGTGATCGCACCAGGGTCTTCCTTTGCGTGGCCTATTATCACTGCGATTCTGAGAAGGTCCACGTACTGCATGTGCAGAAGAATCTTGGGCTGTGGAACTGTCCTTGTGGGTTACTAATGCTGACCCCTCTACAGTCACGGGCACCCCTGGTTGCCCCATCATTACTCTTTTACGGCTTTCTTCTCTGCGGACCTCAGAGAAAGCCTCTCGGATACTTGGTAAAGGCTTGGTACCTAAGATCCGGCCACGAACTTCATCGAGAGATTTATTGAGGCCCATAAGAAATTTAAAAACACGCTTGGTTTCCACGATTTTCCTGAAGCGAGCACCGTCATCAAGGCACTTCCACTCAATTGATTCAAAAAGATCTAGTTGTTGCCAATAACGGGTGAGACTTGTGAAGTAGGCAGTAACTGAAAACTCGCCTTGTCTGAGATCGTGCAAAATACTCTCGATATGGAAGAGTTCAGCAGTGTTTTCACTGTTGGAGAAAGTGTCATGGGCTGCATCCCAGATATCCTTTGCAGTGGAATGAAGGAGGAAATTCTCGCCAATTTCTGTAGTCATGGAGTTGATCAGCCACGACATCACCAGGTTGTTCTCGGCTCTCCACACCCTGAATTGGGGATCATCTAGTTTTGGCTGTGCAGCAGCTCCAGTGAGGTAGTCATCACGCCCCGGCCACAAATAAACATCATGACGGACGTAGACCATTGAAGGTAGTTATGACCAGTGAGTTTATGACCGGTCACAGGGATAAGGCTGCCTTCGGATGGGACTAGATTATTCAAGGATGGAAGAGCAGTGGATGAGGTACCACTGGTTGTGGAGGTTTGTTCAGATTCCGCCATTGAGGATTAAGGAAAAAAAAAAATTTTGAGAGGAGGATCGCCGGAGATGGTCAGCAAGCGGAGAACTGCTCAGTGACAAGAAGATGAACGGCGGCAGAGTTAGGGCTCAGAGTTGCTCTGATACCATGTAGAAATTTAGGAAGTAATCCTCTGATCTTTTATTCATTGATAGAGCGGTGGATGAGGTACCACTGGTTGTGGAGGTTTGTTCAGATTCCGCCATTGAGGATTAAGGAAAAAAAAAAATTTTGAGAGGAGGATCGCCGGAGATGGTCAGCAAGCGGAGAACTGCTCAGTGACAAGAAGATGAACGGCGGCAGAGTTAGGGCTCAGAGTTGCTCTGATACCATGTAGAAATTTAGGAAGTAATCTCTTATCTTTTATTCATTGATTGATGGGTATATATATACATAAGAAGGACTAACCCTAATCTACAAAATCAGGAACTAACTGACCTTATCTTAGGAAATTTAAATTAGGATTACAACAGCTGTGAATACTTCTAATATCCGGGATATAACAAGATTCCTAACGTCTAGCTTGATTTTCTACAATAGCATTTCTGCAAACTAAAATATTTATATGAATAATGATGGTTCGTCCACTTTTATACATGCTGCAGATATCAGATAACAGTTTTTGAGCTTCTTGCCGAGGCAAAAGCCGAAAGGCGGACTACAAAAAGGTCCAAACACAAACATGAACTAATGAACTGCCAGTTCTTGGAAATCCATGCTCCCAGTGGACTCGATCTTGCTCAAAATACAGAATATGCATTAGAAGCTGCTTTATGGGGAATTGAGGTTGGCACTTTTGTATATCTTTTACTCAACATAAATGATGTTCTGCAGGTTGGCTTCAACTAAAGAGCTTATTCTTTTCTAGGGTTTGCCATACTTGGGTGAAATTTATCCTTTGGGAGGCTCTGCAGATAGGCTAGGGTTAGTTGATCCCGACACAGGTGATTGTCTTCCTGCTGCAATGCTACCTTATTGCGGGAGGACTTTGTTGGAAGGTCTCATAAGAGATCTTCAGGTATAAGATCCTTGTTTTTCAAATACAAACCCATTTCTTTGAGCCTCAGATGTTTGCAAACCATTATTCCTAGACTATGAATTCACAGGCATCATATCATATGGCTGTTTTTTTATTGCAAGGCTAGAGAGTTCTTGTACTTCAAGATTTATGGCAAGCAATGCATCACTCCTGTTGCAATCATGACAAGTTCGGCGAAGAACAACCATGAGCACATCGCTTCTCTTTGTGAAAGGCTTGGGTGGTTTGGAAGAGGTCAATCAAGTTTCCAACTTTTTGAGCAGGTTTTTTTTATTGGAATTGCTATAAGGATATATAAGATTCTTCTGACTCTTTAGAGGAATACATTTCTCCGTTGTATTAATGGATATTGGTGCTCATGTACGTTAATGTTTTGTGAACTTCCAGCCTCTTGTTCCAACTGTTAGTGCAGAAGAAGGCCAATGGCTGGTTAGCAAACCTTTTTCACTTGTATGCAAACCTGGCGGTCATGGTGTAATATGGAAACTTGCTCATGATAAAGGCGTTTTCAAATGGTTCTTTGATCAGGGAAGAAGAGGAGCAACTGTCCGGCAAGTCAGGTAAGGTCTAGACCCAGTAACATTTTGGTTTTGCAAATCCCTTGTTCTACTCCAACTAACAATGCCGGACCTGCAGCAATGTTGTAGCAGCCACAGATTTGACCCTCTTGGCATTGGCGGGGATTGGTCTGCACCAAGGAAAGGTATGATTACGTTTTAACAAGGAACTTAGAGGGAGAAAGAATAAAGGTTAACCTAAAAACTGCGTATGAATATTACTCCTTTTCCCCTCCAGAAAAAAAAAAGAAAAAAAAAAGTCTTGAAATGTATATATAACAATTTACCTCAGGGTATTGCATGAAGTGCACTGAGTTGGTGGAAGGAAAAGCTATGTTAATTCATTGGTTCTCGTAGAAGTTGACTTTTCCATTCTTCGTTGATCATTTTTAATTTTCAAATGTGACAGAAACTGGGCTTTGCATCCTGTAAGCGGAACTTGGGGGCTACAGAAGGAATTAATGTTCTAATTGAGAAGAAAACCCTTGATGGGATCTGGGCCTATGGTTTATCATGCATTGAGTATACAGAGTTTGAAAAGTTTGGAATAGCAGATGGACCTCTTTCTCCTAATAGGTATATTTTGGTTCATTTTTATGTATTGCAGAACCATGTCAAATTTTAGTGAATCAGGGAGCAAGCACTTAATATTGTAGCATGTATCAGGGATATGAGAAAATCAAATCTTATTGAATGGATAATTTTTGTGTGCTAACAAATTTGAGGGCATGGTAATATGCAGTTAATAACCTTTATAGATTGGTATGATTTGCTCTGAATTTTCTTGTGCTCAGAGTTCTGTTATAAGGGAGTAAGTAAGAGGTTGTTTCCAACTTTGTTGAGCCAATCCTTAGGGGAAGGATGGGGGGATGCAAATTTTCCTTGTTCTGTTTGGTTCTATTTCCTGGTTCTTAACTTTGCTGCATATTTTTTTTTTAATTCTTCTTCCGCCATTTTCTCTTTTATTCAGAGGTATCTTGTAGCATGAGATTCAGAAAGTTGAGATATCACTTTGTTTTCTGTAATCAAGTTTGCAGGCAGAGTTTCCTGCGAATACAAATATCTTGTACGTGGATCTACCTTCTGCAGAGTTGGTTGGATCGAGTAATTATGGTAACAGCTTACCTGGAATGGTGCTCAATACAAAAAAGCAAATCTCATTTGTAGACTATTATGGAAAACCACAGAGGTATTATGTCTTTTCTGCTCTTTTGCACAACTGACATTTTTGGTTTTGTCAATAATACTTGGAGTGGTCCTTTTGAAGATCTCCTTTAGCTATTGCACTTTTTTTTTTCATTTTTTGTTTCATGTAAACATGAGAATATGGAACATTATACCATTTTCTTTTTCAATCTTCTTTCCAAAGCAGTTATTTTAAGTTACAAGTTTCCGGTGATTATGACATTGACATTAGAAAGACCTAACAATTTTCTATATTCAGTGTCGCAGGTGGCAGGCTGGAGTGCACAATGCAAAATATTGCTGATAGCTTTTTCAATACATATTCATCTCGATGTTACAAGGGTGTGGAAGGTATATAGTTGTGTATGCTGGTTGTTTTTACATGGTATTTACTTTCATGTCCAACTTGTTTTAATTGTCTTAATTTGTTTTAGCAGATATGCTTGATACCTTTATTGTGTTTAATAAAAGAAGAAGAGTGACATCATCTGCTAAGAAGAAACGAAGACATGCGGACAAATGTTTACATCAGGTCATCTACTTTTCTTGCTGTTACGTCTCATGTACTACTGTTCTCTCATTGCATTTTTAATTGGAGGATAGTAAAAGCTTCATAACAATTAACATGCATCTACTTGTTGGGTGACTGTAGTCTAAAACTGTATATGTTTGTTGTTAACATGTCTATTCAAATTCATGTGCAGACTCCTGATGGTTCACTGTTAGATATCTTAAGAAATGCCTGCGATCTTCTTTCTCAATGCAATATTAAACTTCCTGAGGTACATCCTTTTAGGATCCCAGCGATGTCAACATCAACTTAATTGTTATCTTGCTTGCTTGCCTGCCTTGGAACTTTTTGTTTTTCTTTTTCCCATGTTCGCAATGGTAGTTTTAAAAAAAAAAAAAAAAAATTTGTTCGTCATGGCACTTTATGTTGTTGTACTGCAGATTGAAGGCAATGACAAATATGTTGATTCTGGACCACCATTTCTTATCCTTCTGCACCCTGCTCTTGGCCCACTCTGGGAGATCACAAGGCAAAAAGTAAGTTCTGTCCTATTCAGAATTCCCACTTAGGTACTGGACTGTTTATGGATTTCTATTACCCAAATGTAGATTCCATGTTAATCTAATTCTAATTATTGATATACCCCATGCACAATAATAATTGAGAGGTTCTGAAATCTAGTTGTTGCCATCTAAGAACAAAAGATCTTTATCATTCAAAGAGTGAAGCACTCGACTACTGAATGTCATATATAACTTAATTTATTCTTTACTGTCAGTTCTATGGAGGTTCCATATCCAAGGGCTCTGAACTACAAGTAGAGGTTGCAGAGTTTCTGTGGAGGAATATTCAGGTTAGTAATACATGAAATAGATAGTTTGAGTAGAGCACAATATTGCAGGTAAAGTGATCTGGTTTGCCCTTTTCAGCTTGATGGAAGCCTGGTCATAGAGGCTGACAGTGTTATGGGCTCGACTAGAATTGATGAGAATGGAGAACATATCCTGCAATATGGGCACAGGTATCAAGCCGTCTGAATTCTTGAATTTTTCAGGGAAATAAAAGCATCCGCTGCTAAAGAGTACTCATCTGGACAGGTGTGGAAGATGTAGATTAGAAAATGTCAAGGTATTGAATAAGGGAATCGACTGGAACTGTGGAGACAGTGTGTATTGGAAGCATGCTGTGCAACGCTTTGAGGCATGTAAAATCATATTGCATGGAAATGCTGAATTTGAGGCAACAGATGTCACTATACAGGTTAGATCAACTTGTAGTTGCTACAGTGCTTCGTGGTTTAGCCAAATTGTTCAGGCATTATTGAAAAACAATCATTTTGACATATTAATGTTCATACGTCCTCGATTATCACCTCTTTCTCTTTCTCTTTCTCATTTCTCATTTCTTTCTTTTATTTATTTATTTTTTGTGTTGTGTTCACATATTGTTGCATGTATTGCTATTATTGTTGCCATCATTATTTCCATTTACATCTGTAATCGAAACAGTTGTTGTTGTTGCGGGGTTTTGTTATTAGTTACTTCTATAACTATTATTATTGATGATGAGGATATTGATGATGCAAACGGAGGTTCACTCAGTCGGTAGCAAGTGTACTTCTTGAGCTGGTTTTGAACATCTAACAAGAGAATCTGAGTAGCATCTTCTACTGCTTTTGAACTATGCAGGGAAATCATATATTTGAAGTTCCAGATGGTTACAAATTGAAGGTCACATCAGAAAGTTCAGGTTTTTTTTCTTGCTCTACAAAAGTAATTATATATATACATATTTATATTTATAATAGAACCGTTTTATAGTGCCCCCTCCAATCGTTCTCATGCGGGCATGCATATTCTGGTAACATGTGATTATGCTATTTTGTTCTTTTGCTATGGAGTGGAGTCTAGATGAAGAGAAAACTCCTATTCTTACACGACACCATATTCTCTAGAAATTACAAGAAATAATATACATTCTTTGGAAATGCAATCATGCAAGTCTAATATTGGATGATGGGGATTGTCAGAACTGACCTTTCTCTCTCACTCAAAGGCACATTTAACACACGATAGTTGCCACATGAAAGAAAATCCATAACCCATGAATCATTTCTTTGGATGCACAGGTATGCAAGTCAAATTATACCCAATTGGAAAGAATATGATGGACAGTGGAAGCTGGTACTGGAACTACAAGATAAATGGCACGCATATTCAGTTGGAATTAGCAGAGTTGTGAAACTACTCCTAACCATAATTCTCGACCCCGGACGTGAATCCTGGTTCACAGATGGCATGGATCTATCCCTCATAAAGTCAAAATGCTGAGATCTGATTGGTTAAACACAAGTTGAACCATCTCTCATCGTCTTTACTTCTTTATTGATTTATGTTAATTTATTTTGTTAGACCTTAAAGGGGTCTACCGATTGCAGCTCACATCAACTTTTTCTTATCCTTTTTTTTATTTTATTTTTTTTAATTCCTTTTATTTTATTATTTGGCTCCTTTTTGGGAGGAGGATGGAACTGCTCTTTGTAACTAATGTAATATATGTGCTTACTCGAGCAATAAAAATATGTTCAATTATTTCTAATTCGATGTTGAATACTAAAATTGTCATCAACTCTGTTGCCTCAAACTTATCAAAGAAAAAGCTTGTATAGTATGTCAGCAGAGAAAATGGTGGATTTAATCTTAAGAAATGTTCCGTACTGTATATTTTGTTTGAATCCTCAAATATACCTGTTTGGTGTAACAGGTTTTAATAAGACATATGTGCAGGCGAAGAATATTTTGGGGATGCTCAGAGTTTTCATAGCAATATAGCCATCATAACATAAAAATGGCCAATATACAAACAATCAAGCGAGCTCTAAGATCCGGCTACATAACAAATGAACAAGACATTTATTATATGGTTTTTCCACAAATATACACCTCTCTTTTCAAACTTGTTACACTGTTACAATCCGACCTGATTATGTGACTGAAAACAGCACCTACTGAGTAATCTAAGCAGAGCGTCAGCCTTTCTCCGAGCTCTCAAAGACCCATCAGCCGCCAAGCTTTGAAGAGAAGGAATGCTCCGCGGGTTAATCAGCAGCCGTCTCACCACCTCCTCTCCCCCGTCTTTACACAGCCCCAACAGAAGAGTGATCGAATTGTCTTTCCCTTTAGGAGAGCCAAACCTCAAAAGGTCAACGAGAATAGGCACAAGAACTTTGCTCTTCCTTATCTCCTCAAGTCCCTCAGAACAGCCCAATAGCAGCGCAAGAACAGCCAAGGCATCATCAGTTATGGCTGCTTTGTCATCCATTAACAAGTCAACAAGCAAAGGAATCGCCCCAGCAACCACAACACCTACTTTATTAGCATTGTAAACCGCAAGGTTGAAGAGCGCCGTGGCAGCATCCTTTTTACCCACCGGAGTGCCTTCTTTGAGCAGCCCAACCAGTGCAGGGATCGCCCTTGGACGTGCCCCAATCGCCACCTTGCAGTCATCGACCATGGACAAGCTGAATATTGCTGCTGCAGCATTCTCTCTGGCCTCCATTGTCATACCCGACTCCAACACGTATATAATGTTGTCGATTGCCCCCGCAGCCATGATCAGAATTTTATTGTTATTAAAGATTGAGAGGTTAAGCAAAGCAGTGACGACATTTTCCTGAATTCTAGGGTCATGAGAACTGAGCAAAGTCACAAGAAAGGGAATAGCTCCAGCCTCAGAAATAATCCTTCTATTATCCATACTAGTTTTTGCAAGCAATCGAAGCTCATAAGCTGCTTGTCTCTGGATATCTGGGGAGCCGGTGGCAAGTTTCCCAACAAGAAACTCAGCAGACATTTTAACAGCGTCAGCAGCAGCTTTCACAGCAGAAATATGATCCACAGCACTCTCACATTGCCCTCTTTTGGTGTCGCTTCTCTCCAAGCCAGATAGAGACGACGATTTAGACTCCGACAGCAGGATATTGTTATCCTGGCACCATTGTTCCATTAGGCTCTTGAGCGCGTAGTTTGGTATGAGGGCCATGTGGATTAGCCTCTGCCCGCTCTTGGGGCATGTATGGTGGCCCGAATTAATCCACTGTGCAATCGAGTTTCGATCATAAGTGTGACCTGATGCAACAATCACCGGATCTCTCATCAAGTCCAGGGAAATCGGACAACGGAATTCATCTGGGATGTTGGCAACCACTGATTGAGAAGAGGAAGAACGGTCGAATTTCTTGTTCAAGGATGAGGAAGAAGAACAAGAAGATGACCTCTTTAGCTCTTCTTTTGGTCTCTCAGGCTCATCAATGAAAATCATTGATTTGCAATATGAAACAAAGGAAATAAGGTTGTTTATATTGGAAACCACTATTAGCCCACCAGTCCCTGCTTGTTTTTTCACTTCTTCCTCTAGTTTCAATATCTCTTCCTCATAATCAAGTGGGGTTCTTAGACCAATGCTGCTAAGAATCTCTCTCACTTTTCCGAAATCCAAGAACCCTTTTTTCTTACTGCTGTTCTCATTATTGGTGGCCATCAGTTGGAGAAGCTCTTCTCTTCTTTGAAGCTCTCGGAGGTCGATATACAACTCTGCCCGCTTTGCTTGCTTGTGAAGCAACTCAACTTGCTCTCTAATGTCTGCCGAGACATTAAGCAAACTGAGAGGCAAAATATCAAGTGCACTTCCCATCTCCTTAACAAGGACATAAAACTGATTAGAGACCAACTCAGTCTGCATTAGTCCCCACAAAGAGCTTCCATCTTCGCAACTTTGAATGCGAAACTTCACTCTCCGAATCACGGAGAAAAGCTCGGTGAGACAAAGGATTGAAGATGGTGGGAGTGAGCGATTAGTCTCTTGCATTTCTTCAAACAAAGAAGAGAGAAGCTTGATTCTTCTTGTCATGTTTGAGATGTTCCTGACTTGAACAATTGGAAGCTTTTCCATGGAACAAACTTCTTTGGATATGTGAACCAAGGACTCTAACAAAGACCCAGTTGGCAAAAAGGCCTCGGAGATGATCACAGCAGAAAGTGCAACGTCCATGGATATTCAGATCACCTTCTCATTGTTAATACCAAAAAAAAAAAAAAAGTTGTTTCCTTTCTTGGGTGGTTGGTTTACTAGTGAGAATTGACAAAATTCCTAGAATTAATACTTGATAATGTTACCAAAGAGAGAAACATTAAAATAAGTGAATGAACTCTTGGATGTTTCTGTTGCATAGTTGACATTAGAGACAATAGAAACGGTAGTAAAAGAGAGGAGAAAGAAAAGGCTTTCTGGGTGGCTGCCACTTGGAGGAAATTCCTGCCTCGTTGATTTTTGCTTATTCTTCTCTTTATTTTTATATTATATTTACAATTTGGATGTGCTAAATAGTTGATTAATCCTTGACAAACTTGAATACTTGGCCTCTAGTACCTTGCAAGTGTCCATATTTTGTTTTTACTCTTTTTTCTTTTTTCTTAAAGCAGTTGCGACTTAAATTGTAATACATATTAGACACTTTAGTATAGATTAAAAAAAAGTGTAAAAAAATTAAAAAGCAAATAACACTTTGGAGGGAGCAATGGTCAATGTGTGTGAATAAAATCCGATGGCTCAAAACTGATGGGTTCAAATCTGAAGACAAGATTTTTTTTTTTTTTTTTTTGGTTGTCTTCTTATTTTTGTAAAACAATAAATTAAATAACCCTTGAAATCCTATTGTACACGTAATCTTCAACGCACGAGCAGACATTTTCTTTAATTTTTATTGTTTTTTTTTTCCTTCTAATTATGTGTATACATATATAATAAACCTATTATTAATCTCTGAACATGGACAAAATCAAAGGCGACATTGGTTTGCGACTTTGCGTAACTCAAGAATATTACATAAGTCTTTCTACGATTCAAAATGATGCAATCAAAATCATATGGATATCTCATTTCATCTTCATTTTCCTTTTGTCTCTTCTGCATAGTTAGCCAAGCTCCATATAGTAAGTACGCACGTTAATGGAATTATCTGTTTGGACTATCTATAACAAGGTCGACTTATTCTATTTTCCTTTTTTATTTCTTGTTTTACCAATTTTCTCACCTAAAGGATAAGAAAAGAAGAAAGACAACCATTTATTAACAGTATGTGTCAATTTCTGATTCTTTATTCCAAGAAAAAAAAATAAAAATATTCGTGTAACTTTTTCTGCTCTCTCTAAATAAAAGGTGAAATGAGGTGCTGTGATTGTCGTAAAAACATTTTGTCTCTTATATCAAACAAGCTCATATAATAATGTTATATAGGCATTTTCGTCCAAATTTAACAGCGTTCTTCGCTCTGCAATACTTTATTCAATTTCGAAGGTAATTTATCAAAGTTGATCATGAAAAGTTAACGATAGATAGGTCAAACCCTTTTTTTTTTTTTTTTTTGGCTGGTACCGTTTGTTTGTGTATCATTTTGGTCCAAGCCATCCATAGAATATTGCAATCCAACAAAGAAAAGGCCTTTGGTAGGACATTCAAAGGGGTATATGAGATAGACCCATTTTCCTAACTGGACTTTGATCATGTGGGTGGGCTTCTATTTAGACGCTAAAGATGGTTTTCTATGCTCGGTGCTAAGAAGGTTAATTACGTTGTCAAATATTCTAGAGTAATGCTACATTGCTATTCAATATTTTTTTAAGAAAAAAATAGGAAATTTATTGTTAAGAGTGTATGAGTCTCAAACTTTATCTCTTATTCTTAATAAATATCATTTTTTTAGTGTAATTATTTGACTAAAAAAGTTATGAATTAAGAGCTCATATACTTTCAGATGTATTTATGAAGATTACTCATATTTTAACACTTCTTAGAAATCCAATATTGCAAATCAATTATATTGTCAAAATCATTAGTCCACTTGTTCATCACCAAGAACTCACTTTATAATGACAAAATTCACATTAGATTATTCGCGTATTAGGAGTTACAAAGCTTTGTGCATTTATCATTGTCCGATGCATCAATAGTTTTGCTTTCTCTAGAATCAATATCTTACCAAGCCATATGATTAATATTTTGCTTTTTAAACAATTAGACAAACCATTTCCAAAACACCTGCCAACTATTAGTGCACAAGAAATGAAGCTAAGGTAACAAACAAAGATCCATCAAATCATCCTAAACTTCAAAGCATTAATGATAGAAACAAATGAAAAGAAAGAAAGAAAGACATATATCACAAGCAATATAATTGTCCAAACTCAGAACCATTACATAGGTAAAGATACAAAGGATGCGCTTGGAATTTGTTCCAAAATAATTTTATTTTTTGTATGAAAATGAAAATAAAAATATTTTTAATCTTAGACATAAATCATTTTTAAAAATGTGTTTGGTAGCTTTATCAAGAGATTGTTTTCAATATAAAAACCCATTAATATCTTTTTCTCTTTATCTCTGCTCGAGAGAGGAGAAAACAAAAACAAAAAATAAAAAACGACTAGAAGTCGTTTTTCATTTCTCTATCATTTTACACTAAACTAAAAAATCGTTTTCATTTCCACTTTTTGTCTTTATTACGCCAAACGCCGTTTTAGAAACGTTGTCATTTTTTTCTCAAAAAACGTAAAAAATAAAAACGGGATCAATTCCAAACACAGCCAAAAAGTTCCACGTTTGTTTCCCCTTAAGTCTCTCACCCCCGTTTCCACCACATGGAAATTCAAGCTCCATCGTTGGTAGCTAGGCCCATTCCCATTGGCCTTCCCTATCCTCATTTTTATTTTTTATTTAGAAATTTCTTTGATAAGGACCATAAAAATGAATTATTAGTAATTTTTTATTTTTAGCCGTCATATTTTTATCAAAAATTATTAATTTTATATACTTTTTTTGATCTGATGTAATTGTGATCAAATTTAAATAGTTTAAAACTGATAGAGAGGTTCAACCGAAAAAACTCCTTTTTTTATTCTCCACATTTTTCTCTATATATATATATCTATCTATCTCTCTCATATTCATGCAATCACATGTGGTGTCTCTTTGGAGTCAAATCTGGAAAATGTGAGCATAGGCTTTAATGAATCCCAATTGGATGTTGTGGCTCTGGTGGTGGGGCTGCAAGAGGGCAACTCAGAAAGACCACCGATTTGCACACTCCCAAATCAAGGCTACAGTTTCCCCTCAGTAGTCAGTACACACACCCCACCTTATAATCCCCAACAAAATATCAAACCCTTTGCTTACTTTTGTTTTCTCCCGCTCTAAATCTAATCATTCATTTCCATGGGTCGTTTTTCATATCTTCTTACTCCTTTCCCACGCTCTTCCTAAGCATGTGTAGTGTAGTTCTAATGCACCATCACGTCCTTTTGGATTATAGTTGCGTCACTACAAGTATTAAGCCAACATTGTTATTTATCACTACTCATGGTAATTGTAGTAAGGATTATTCTTACTAGTACATATAAAATTTTAGGATCAAACATATTGTGTCCCCAAAGTTTTAAAAACTTTTATTTTACACCTCTAAATTTTAAATTAGTCACATTTAACCCCCATCTATTAGAATTTTTATTAAAACATATCAAAATGCGCCTTTAAATTTTAAATTAGTCACATTTAACCCCATCTATTAGAATTTTTATTAAAACATATCAAAATGCAGTCATATGATTTTTTTTTGTTTGAATTTCTGTTATAAATAAATGGAAAAATATTTTATAATCATATGTAATCCTTTTTTTTTTGTTTGTTTTTAACAAAAATTCTAACAAATTAGTTTAAGTATGATTAATTCAAATTTAAATAGGCAAAATAAGAGTTTTGATAAATATATGAAGCAAACAGAAAATAAAGTTGAAATTTAAGCGCGCAAATAAGGTTAACCCTAATAATAAAGAAATTGGGGTCTTGTTTATTACATCTCTTATTAATTATGGTGATCATCTCGTGATATATAGGACAAACTCTACAATTATGAATGTAGGTTCAATCATTACTTGCAAAACCACAAATGCATTGACATGGCTGTGGTAACTTGCCAAGGGGTCTCTAATGATTCAAGTCAAAGAAGAGAACTTCTGTAGCAAGTGATGTAGAAAATATACAATACACAGTGCCTGAAACTATAGAACAGTGTATTTAACCTCTGGCCAATTGGACTAGGAAGCTTATTCTGTGGATGACTAAGACTTGAATTGTTAATTAATCAAACTATACTAACAGTTGAATTGCTTATAGTTATATTACTCGGGTCATTTGTACCTATTTAAATTACACGATCTCATATAAAATTTATAATATTTATATATATATATATATACACACACATACTTGGGGTGAGACACACTCGCGGCCTTCTTTTTTTTTTTTTTTTCCCTTCACTTTGAGTGGTATGGGAAAACGACGTGCAATAAATAAGTGGGCTCTTGAAGGGGAAGCACTATTATCGTTTCTGTCCCTTTTTTCACTCCCAACCACAATAAGTTTGAAGTGACACATTTATTTCTAACTATAGTAGTAAAATCCAGAGTCACATAAAGAAATTCTAAAAGATTAAACATCAGATAGTTTTGCTTGTAAGTTTAAATAAAATGAAAGATAGTTTTACTGGAAAAACTAGCTTGGAAACTGTAGAAATTTCAAGCTTGTAACTATCAAGTGTGGATTGTCCTAGAAGGGCTAGGAACTCGTAAGTTTGTAGTAAAACATGAGTTTTAAGTTCTAACAAGATTAATTATAGGGTGGAAGGGCTTGGGAGATGTAGCAATTTTGAGCTAATTTGTGGTTGTAGATGTCCCTTTTTAGTAGTCATGGCTAGAAATTCCTTTATTTTGTGAACTTTTCTTGAATTTCAATCCGATGGAAATTCATGGTATTATCTTTATGTCATTTAAAGCTTGTTCGGCACTTGTGAAAGTGACGTGCATAATTGCATTGCCCATCCAAGGAAAAATAATAATGATAAGTTGCATTCAACTTTAAGTGTGAGTCTAGGAGTGTAAAAAACAAAGCAAAAACAAAACATGGTCTTGCAAGACGGAATATTTTGGCAGTTTACCCCAGGTATTTATTAAGTAAAAAAAGTGTCTATGAAAAAATCGAATCATGCATTTTACACGTGTAATATATAAATTAACGTATAACATGAAATTTATTTCATGTAACAATAATTTTAAAAAGTGAAACAATAAAAAAATCCATTAATCCAAACTAATTTATACGTTTTCAAAGTCGTGGAATCATTATTGAGAGAGAGAGAGAAAAAAAATCATTGACTCATTGTTACATAAAAAATATTAGTATCACTCTTTCTATTATTCTTTTTATCACTTTCTACGTTCACTGTTTAACATATGTACTATACTACATGATATTTTATTATTTAAATAAAAAATAAGACAGTAGAGTCCAAGTATTAAACAACGATTATAGAATGTGACAAAGAGAGTGACAAAAAAAAATAATGCTAGTGTTTTCTTTATTACATAGAATAAATACTCAATTACACTTCAATTTCTACATATTACACGTATAGAATCGTCCTATTCAAGGTTTTAAGGATCCATTAATAAAACAATACCTAAAGATGCTGCAGAAGTTGGCATTAGAAAGTAAAAAAAAAAATAAAAAAAATAATAATAATAAAAATAATAAAACTTAAGCATGCACCCCTATTCTTTTCGATAAGCCACACCCCTATACTTAGTACCATAATTTTCTACATAGTGGGAAATCATGAATTCCAAAAGTTGAACTATGTAACAAGATTACAAAGAAGAGAAATGCTCAGAGAAGAAGCTTAAGGAAAATAATGAAAATCTTGTAAGAAGGATACATCTCTTTCCGTTAATTGATTTTAGCAACGCGGAGAGACGTTTCATTTCACCACAAAAAGCTTTCCAAATTGGTGATCTAAGCCGGAGTTGGCACGTGCAAGAGAGTACTGAAAAAAACTTTTCTTCTTCAATGTTAGGGAAAAAATAATAATAATACCCAAAAAAAAAAAAAAAAGAAATACCTTATGTAGATGCCTATGGCCAACACTATGTGGGGGGCACAGCTTCCTAAATATAAGTCTTTTTACTTCACATTGCAATTTTTCCTCGTGTGGGCAGGTCCAACTTTCTTCAACTTTCTTGCGAAACTTCTTTTCTTTTTTCTTTTTCTTGTTTTTTGCCTTTAATTGAATTGAAATATCTCACACTATGTGGACGAACTATCATGTATGATGTCTCATCTTAGCCTTACCCCATCTCATCTTTAATTATTGAGCCTACTTCTTCCCACTTGAAGGCAACAACCAAAAATAATGATAATAATAATAATAATAATAATAATAATAATAATAATAATAATAATAATAAACCAAAAACAAATGGCCCATGCAGGTCTCGAACCTCCGACCTTGGCGTTAATAGCACGCCGCTCTACACAGCTGAGCTAATAGGCCAAGACACTGTTCAAAAAAGGTTGCCTAACAAATCGTAACCAAACTAAAACCACCAAGGACATCTCGATATAAATATGCATGTGTAGTGAAAAGGGAAGTTATCGCGTTGTAGAAAGAGTAGATAGATTAGGTAGGCATAGATGAAAGGCAGTCACGAGCCAAGGTCAAGCTCCTCTTGCGCTGCCTGCAAGTTCCTCAAGAGGAGATGCACTCCCACCTGCATATTCGCCCCGTATTTTCGCTCCGACGAGCCTAAGAAGTTCGCCAAAGTCCACAAAGTGTTCGGAGCAAGTAACGTAAGCAAGATCCTCATCGAAGTCCCCGAAGAGCAAAGGGAAGACACCGTGAATTCCCTCGCTTATGAGGCCGAGGCGAGGCTCCGGGACCCGGTCTACGGTTGCATTGGTGCCATAGCTTTGCTGCAGAGGAGGATGGTTGAGCTCCAACGTGATCTGGCCATTGCTAGAGCTCGCCTCGCTCGGTTTGCTGCCAATTCTTCTTCTCTGTGTTCTTCTTCTTCATCATCTTCCTCTTCTGTGTCTAACTATAGTATCTTGGATGGTCGGGTCACTGAGGTTGGTTTGAGTGGTATTCCTTGTGCTGGATTCGGCGATGCCTTTAGCCAGAATCCGTTGGAATTTGGCCAGAATGGACCCATGTATGATTATAGCTTTGTCCCGTATATATTATGAAAAATTTTGTGATCATCATCTCCCAATTATAAGATTGAATATGTTCTTTCTTTGTTCCTTTTTTTTTTTTTTTTTTCTTTTGTTCTGTTTCGCCTTTGATTTGTTACATCTTTATCCGGAACTAGATGTAGACTTATTTCTTTATGTATATATGTTATTAAAAAAAGAAGTGATTTTGATATCCAATTATCAGATATGCAAATATCAACAAGCCAAGAACAAAGATAAATCCTTCTCTAACTCAACTAAGGATGATGTGTTAGACGCAACCATCTTTCAAAGGGAGAAGCAAATAGCAATCCAACACAAAAGACGAAAGAGTGTTTGGTTGGTTTTTGGGTTCATTGCATATTCATTCGGCCGAGTGGAACAGGGGTTTGGTGGGAGCCGACGCCATTATTCCATGCTACGGAGAATTATTTTTTGGCCATGATTTCCTAACCCCACAACACGCTTTTTTAACTTTATCTGCTGCAGTGAGAATCCAAAGACTAGTTTCCGTGAATGTCTTTTAGGTACCACATCTTACAAGTTCAGAAATCGAATGTTTAACGAAACAATCATTGATGAGCAGACTTACTACCCCATTACGCCCTTATCTGGAACAAGTGTTGATGCCAATTTTACGCGAGTAAAAATAGACCCTGTTTGCCACATAAATGGGTAATATGGTATGAGAACCAAAATAATGCTCTTCATTAAAAAGGGTACGGTTTTTTTAGCTTCAAATGTAGCTGCTTGTGGAAAGAAAATGCTAGGAGGCCAAATCTCACCTGCAAGAGAACCTATGATGTGAGTTCTGATGCAGATGCCACGGATTAGTTGACAAGTTTTCTCAACAAGAATGTAAGTTCTCGAAAATCTCCATCTTGAAAACGACTCAAATTAAGAAAGCGGTTTATATCATGAGAAGTGACAAAATAATTAGAGTTGAACGTGGGAAACCAAAGAATTTACTTACGATGGACATGGAGGCGATAATGTTACATTTTCTGTCAAAAATTCAAAAGGACTCACAAATCTGTTACAGAGGGAAACTAACCATGTACACAACACAGTACAACAATCGATGCGAACTAGGTTCTTCTGCTTCAAAAGCCCTGAATTTGCAAGCCTGCACATGAATCAAGGAGAACGGGTACCTATGAATCCAACACGGGCTTCCACAGGTTTCCAAACTGCACCTAGTTTATGAACATTGGATAATGCTCGTTCATCAAGTTACTTCTTCCCTGCTAAAGTAATGCAAAAGGCCATGGACTGCTTAGTACTAGAGCATAACTTGAAACAAGATTGAGTACTGCAGTTTAGATGCACAAAGCAAGCAGCGGAAGCAAATAGCAGCCAACAAATTTGGTTTCTTTCCAACCTATGGAAATGGGACGTGCCTTTTGGTGAGATTGCTGATATCCCCAGCATGTTTTGAAGCCAACCACTGAACATAATCTCATAAAGAACACTCGAATAACAAGTCAAGCAAGGGCGAAAATACAATCATCAGCTTTCTCAACATATTAGAATATTGACGTTTTGATACAATAATTTTTTCCCTTGCAAACACAATTATTACTAGAGGCCAAGTAAATGACGATTTTTTGATACAGCACGGAACCTTCCAGTTCCAACCAAACCCCACCCCACCCAAACCCCCTAGTGCCACTAAACCAAAAGACTTAGGCCAAGTAAGTAAATGACGATTTGCATTAACCACCTTTTTAAGCCACACGAGTAAGAGTAAAGCTACATAGCACCAGGTCAACCTCAGATGGAAAAAGAGCACAACCATCCACCATATTCAGATAACAGGTTATTTCAAACCCAACATCAAGGCATCAAATCATAACCCCCACAATTTCTTCCTTTACTTTTCTTGTCATCTCTTTTAAAAAGCTTAAAATCTGTACGTACATACTATTTTGGAAGCTTGTAAGAGCATCTCCAAAGCAATACTATAATTAATGTGCCAATTGCAAATTTAACATTTAAGTGTAAAAAACACTCTCCAATACAATGCTATTTGTTGTGTCAAATTTCTCACATGCTATACTTTGTGGCAAATTTCCCACCAAGTATAGCATATGGAAAATTTGGCATTTGATTACTATTGGTTGACATGTTTACTTTTTCCATGTAATCAATGCAACTTTTGCATTTTCTAATTATTTTAAAAATAAAAGTTTACTTTTACAACTTCCAAAGTTTAATAATTATAAGAAAAACTAGATTTAGCATTTCAAATAGCATTATGCATTGGAGCAAAAATGAAAATAACATACCATATCATAGTTTTTTATGCTAAATATACAATTGGCATTAACATTTGTATTGGAGATGGTCTAATTCGAATGCAAAAAAAGCACCAAAGATACCTGGAAGCATAAATCCTACTTCACAGGATCGTGGCCTGGATACTAAGATGATAGCTCAATTCAGCACCACTCTTGGGAATAATACTCCAAATACCCAGACCAAGCCTACCTCAGGTTTAATGGTGCTGCTTTCAGAATTCAAGCCTAAAGTTGTTTTAGTTCATGTCTTAAAAGCAAACCCGAAAATAAGACAGGCCATAGTTTCACACACTGAGTTGAGGTTGAGCTAAATCTGCTCCCATAAAATCCAATCTAACCACATTTGTATGGATTAGCTTGGCCTGGTTCTTCCGCCATATCAATTTACAAACTTTCATTTTACTGTATGCAAGTTTAGCAATAACGACTTTCTCAGAAGTGCCTAAACTGAGACTATCATCCGCTATATACAAGCTTGCCACTGAGAACCACCGATTAAGCATCTATGAACAAGTTATTTAGAAAGAATTATAGAATTCCCCGAAAAACTAGCATATATGACGTGCTGTTGAAGCAAAGAAACTTCAACCATTCTTATCAGTTGCAGCATATTCCAAGACAACCCAAGTCTCTAACTCTCAAACCATGTTCACAAAAATTTTTAAGTTCACACATTATTGACGCCTTAGCGTTAAACCAATGGTAAATATAATTAAACAATACTTGAACTCTTTCTACTGCCAAACACCAATCTCTCAATCCAGCAATCAAAACAATCTTCACACACATAGTCACATACAATTCAACCACCAATCAAGTTAATTCTTTCTGCAAAATTCGAAAAGAACAACACGACATTGAGTGCGGATTGCGAAGTTTTACCTGAACCAGGGGCGTACTTGGGGCGCTTCATCTTCTCCAACTCCAATTGAGCGTCCATGAACATGTTGAGCCTCTGGAATTCAAGATCTTTAGCAAACTCCATCCTCTGCCTCTCCAATTCCATCATCATCTTCTGCTTGGAGCTCTCGATCCTCTCGTAAATCTCCCCGAACTTGAGTATCGCCCGCGCCAATTCCCTACCCGCCGCCCCATCGGACAACTCCCCCGCCTCCGTCCGATGCTTCCTCACCACCACGTCATCACCATCACCATACTCATCATCGTCCCCATCCTCGTCGCCGATCGAGCTCTCCGGCGACCGATTACGCGGTAGGGGCCTTGGACCGGGCCTTTTGATGGTGAGAGTGACGGCGGTGGCGGGCTTCTTGGCGTTGGCGCCGATGAGGAAATCGAGGCGAGGGAAGAAGCGCCAGGAGGAAGGGGAGGGCTTGGACTTCTCGAGCTTGTACTTTTTCTTGAGCGTGTCGATCCGGTTCTTGCACTGGACGTCCGTCTTGTACGGCTTCGCTCCTTCTCCTCCTCCGTCGCCGCCGTCATCGCGGCCGTTGACGGCGTCGGAGATTTCCTTCCAGTCCTTCTGACGGAGGTTGCCGCGGGTCAGCTGGAGAAAACGGTCGGCCCACGCCTCGATCAGGGCCTCCGTCGCCACCTCGCTCCAGCAGTCCTCGCGGCCCCCGCCGTGGGGCCGGGCCGTGGGTCCCGGACGGTCCATGTTCGGGTTGGATCAGGTGGAGAGCTTGGCGGAGGTGAAACGTAGGGAGAGGAGAGAGAAAGGGAGTGTGTTTGAAAGAGAGGGAAAGAGAGA